CCCTCCCAGTCCAAAGCAGCTCTCTGCATATTTGGAAGAAAATCAAGCTTGGAACTGGATCAGCTTGTCAATGTTCCAGCGCCTCTTAGCTACCGAGGGCTTAACTTTCAGCGAAGTTTCCATGAATGCAGGAAGCATAGACGGAGTCGGGCAGGAGGTCCGGCTCTTGTGGGAAGAAAATTCTGCGTCTCCCAGCTGAGGCGGTTGTTACCGGAGGGCTGGTCTGGCGTGCGGGGAGGAGAGGCAGGGAAGCACTTGTGCCCGGGTGCTTGTAGCATGTCTTCCCGCTGCCGAGCCCTTGGAGGGTTTGCTGTGCTCCTCGTCCCTGCTGGAGGACGGGCTGTGTTGTGCCATGGCTGCGGAGGATCACGTTGAGCTCTTTTTGGCAGTCTAGCGCTGGGGAAGCCACGTTTCGCATCACGTCACAGGTCAGTCCTGCTGGAACCGCTGGCTTTAATAGCAGCAAGTGGTGTAGTGGTAAATGCTCCTCTCCTCTGCCTGCTCCGTCTGCACGATAGTTGACACATTGCCTCCGAGTCGTCTTTGTAACCCAGCCGTAGTTTGCCGGTGGAGAGGAGCCCGGAGGCAGCAGGCTGCCTCTGCTTTCGCTTCGGGCTGGTTTGGCCGAGCACATCACCGAGGCATCCGGCATCTTCTGCTCCCTGCGATGCTACCCGGGACCCGACAGCACCCGCGCAGGGCTGCCTGCCGGGGAGCTGGGCTGCAGTCCTGCGAGAAAACGGGGAGAGGAAGGGCAGCGTGGGGGCTGCGAGCTGGAGCACAGGGGCTGCGGGGAGGGGACGGGTGTCGCTGTGCGACCTCCGCTCGCTGCACAAGGTGGGCGCGAGCCCCCCAGGCCTCGCTGCCTCTGTCTACCCTGGGTGGGTCCAGCAACACACGCTAACCATGAAGGGTCCTGCGCCGAAAGTGGGCACCGCACCGGTGAGCACACAGGGTTGGGAGCGAGCTGGCAGCGTACGCTTCGCAGGGGCTTGGGGATGTCTTTGTTAACATGGTCTAACAACTTGCCCTTAAATATCCTAGGCTAGGCAAAGCCTCTCTGAATGATGTCACTCTGTAGCTATTTCAAAATATCTTGGAGGCACAAAGCATCATTTTAATGGAGGATGAAGAGTAATTATTTTTATGTTCTTTAAAAAAAAAAAATCAGGTCTAATGAGTAGAAAGGCCACTAAAACCGGCTTCGAAGCCAAAATGTATTTCTTACATAAAAATGTACAATTCTCAGTGACATTTGTATCACTTCTATACAAAATGGTTTAAAAAGAGCAAAACAAAAAAAAAATCTGTGACATTTGTGAGTGTTGCTATTTTAGAATTTATTTCCATAAGTGATTTTTTTCTTAAAGATGTTTAATAGTAATTCATATAATAAAGTCCTGTTGTACTCTTAACACTCAGGTGTATTTTGCTTTTTTGCTCCCATTTCTTTACAGGGGAAAAAGGAAGAAACAGGGGTGGGCAGGGAAATGCCAGCTGTAGCCCAGCTCTAGCTGTGCCCCTCATGGCTGCCGATGCCCTAAAGCTGCCCTGGCTCGTTGCCTCCCTGCTCCTGACGGTGCTGAATTTGCATCTGACAATTTTCTCAGAAAGCGAGGGCTGCAGGAACCCCATCACTGGTGAGCTCCTGTCTCCATCCAGGAACAATTCCTGCTTCCACCCGGCAGGCTGTTTGGTTCAGGAGCAGGTCCCCTCCGGTGCCTGTTGTCGGAGAGCCTGAGAAGAGCACCGGGAGCTCACGGTGAGCGAGCAGCAGCGAGAGGCCAGGATTTGGGGAAAGCCCTGGCACAGCCGAGGATGCTCTGAGGGCTCCCCATCCCTGTTCCTCCCCGCTTCACCTCGGCAGGCAAAGCAACGCCACCCCGAAGCACAGTGGGCGAGTGGGGCACCCACTGCCCCCTTCTGCTGTCCCCACGCCAGGGTTTCGGTTGGGGTCCGATGTAAAGGGGGCCAGAGGCTGCGAGGGTGGGCTCTGCACCGGGGAAACCGTCCTGGCATCAAGCGTGCTGGGGAGCAGAGCTGTTGACCCGCGCTGGCCAGGGGGCTGTGCCCGTGGGTCCCTGTGGAAGCGCCTGTGACCAGCTACGCATGTGGGAACCTGCCTTTCAGGAAAGAGGTAAAAAGGAAAAATGCTGTGGCTTACCAGCTTCATTCTGAAAATAACAAGCCTCTCGGGGACGGGGCGTGTGAGTTTTCTTTAAACTGTTTCATTAGCTATCGCACCGCAACTCCTCCGCATCTGTCAAGCAGGCAGTCTGGCTCCTTCGCATTGTCTCCTGGCAGAATGGAAATATATTATAATGAATTATTTCTGAAATACATGTTATTCGTCTCCAGCCCTGCATGTTTCCACACAGTGCCAAGCTGGTGGGATCGCCAGGTCTACGACATTGGAGCATGCGGAGCTGGACAGCGTCGGCTGAATTGGTCCCAAAGGTGCTGAT